ATCTGACGTATTAGCCCAGTAACATTATGCCCCAGTATCACTTAGAATGGGAGCAGTGAGTGTCAGGGTGGGGGCTTTTCACAACGGCGGTTACATTCATTTTCATAATAATCTGTGTTTCCCTTTTAATCGGTGAAATGCAGCACTCTGAGAATGCCTCCCCCTAAAATGTTCTTCAGCACCTCTGCTAAACTCAGAAAGTTGGATCCAGATCATTATGTTAACAGGTGGACTTTGTGGTACCACTGCTGGCCAGCAGAAATCTGGGTGGATGGAATTTAGCATTGGAGAGTGGCTGTGCACAGAAGCAAGGACACGACAGAGTCTGCACCTAAACAAATGTCCACCCATCCTGGTCTCAGATTTACCCAAAAAGGCCAATCAAGGGTGCTGTAAAAACTCCAATGCATTATAAAGGGCTGGACAAGGAGAATGGCTGCTTGGGGAAGGTTTCAGAATATTGTCACTGCTCATTGACCCATATCCTCAGAACGTTTTAGGGATAGGGGAGAAATCTTGGCAAAAGAGTGGAGGGAATGTTGTAAGTTTCAAAATTAGCAAAGGAACCCTCTGCCCTGTACTTTTTTAAAACATAGAATAATTCTTCAAAGTTTACAATATGTATCTTTATCATCTTTGCACAAACCTAAGAATAAAAAAAAAACTTAGACATCTAGGAATGAGTGAAGATTATATTTCAGCAAAGCATTCAGTGACAAAGTTAACGACTTTATTCTCACACACACACATCAATTAAGCCTCAGTGTCAATAGCAGCAGAATCCTTAGATTGAATTTATAGGTTTCTGTTCATTCCTAATGCATATTTTTAGCCATGCTCTAAATCATTAAAATGAAATGGGCAATTCCTTAGGATCAATGAGTTAGAAGGAGTGAATGTAGTGTATTTGTTTCTTCAGAAGATGTTCAGTAATCTTTCACAACAGTTTTGTTTTAATAGAAAATCAGGATACTTGAGTTTGGGGTAAAATATTAGCATAAACTGAGAATCTAATAATAGACAGAAAATAGAGACTTGGAATAAACAGGTATTTTTCAGCATGGCAGGGATTACTAACAGAGGGATGCAAGGATCAGCGCCCGGCCTTCAGCTGTTTACAGTTTATATCAGTGCCATGGCTTAGTGGGTTAAAGCATCTGTCTGGTTAATAGGAGATCCTGTGGTTCCAGTGGCACAGTGTCCCTGCCTCAGGACCAAGAGACTTGGGTTCAAGTCCCCCACCTGCTCCAGAGGTATGCAATAACATCTCTGAACAGGTTGATTAGAAAAATATCTAGATGAGGGGCTTTTGTGGTGCAATGATAATGCCCCCACTTCTGAGCCGCTTCAGGTGTGTGTAATAACTTTTCTGAACAGGTTGATTGGAAAATAACATTTGCACGCATATCTTTACACTGCACTCAAAGAACACAACCCCCATTTGAGGGTCTTTTATGCTACATTGGTAGTGTTCCTACCTCTGGGTCAGAAAGCCTGGGTTCAAGTTTTACCTGCTCCAGAGGCGTATCATAACATGTCTGAACAATTTGATTAAAATTGTCTAGATAGTTGAATGAGTGAAAAAAAAAGCTGATGATACAAAACTAAGCGAGAAAGTAAACTCTGAGAAGGATGTGAAGAAACTAAAAATGGAGTGAGGTAAGCCAAGTGATTAGCTAAGCGCTTTTTATAAATTAGGTTCATGTTCTCTGGAGTTTAAAAGAATTAGAGATGATCTCACTGAAACATAAGCAATTCTTAGAGTCCTCAACAATGAAGACACTGAAAGGTCATTTACCCCGCCCAGAATAAGAAGCTCCCATTTATGGCTGAGATGGCGAAAGAAGGTTTTCACTCAGAAACTTATGAATATTTTGGAGCGTGGTGAATGCTCAGTCAATGTGTTATTCAAGTCTGAGATCAATAGGTTATTGGACACCAGGCAAACTAAGGGGTATGGGATAAGGCCAGAAAATGGAGTTATGCAGAATTTCAGCCATGTTCTTATTGAATGATGGAGCAGGCTCAATGAGCCATGACTCTCCTGCTCCTATTTATTACTATCTTAGGTTATTATATGTAAAAATTGCAACATGAGAGAAGTGGTCTTAAAACTGATTATGATGTTTGACCTTAAGTGATGAAGCAGCGATGCTTTTCCACGGTAGTTTATTAGGCATATATACATACTCCGCAAAATATTGTGTAGTCAACGAAAGTTGTCTTCAAATCCTATAAGAAACTGAAATGTCATTCAATGATTCAGAAGGTTTTGTTTTTTAAACACCCCACATAATGCAACAGAGGCCAGAGAGCTTCTCAATATTTGCAACAGTGGCTAACCTCAAGCTAGTCAACAATTAGTATGTCAAAACTGGCCTCAGCAACTCTAGGGGGAGAGGAAATGTCCAAGTCTTGATCATGATTGAATGACGCCCACTGGATATGTGTCTGGGTAGCTAAGCACAGAATGGGATCAACCAATGTGACCTGGGATTGAGTAATTTGCATGCAAAAAACAAACACATTGATAAGACACTAGTAGCTAGCCAGCATTTGTACCCCCTCAGTTTTTTTTTGATGGCAAAAAGAGAAAACTGGTGATGGCAAAAACATTTGCATGAGCCAGGTGAAATTGGCAATTCTGTGGCATTGGTGTTATCATGGTCAGTAATAGTGGCTGGCATGGAAATCTATATTGAATCAAAACCTGAGAAGAGCTATCCCTCCAACCTCAGAATTGACCTCATATTTTGAACAGAAATCATATATATTGTGAACAGAAAGCATATACATTGTGAGCGACAGTTGTATTTCAGGATTCAGATACAGATTATAAACCTTTAAATCTTCACTGCAGTGCTTTCAGAAGTTGTCCAGACATCTTCTCAGAATACTAGCTTGTGTCTAATATGCTTCACGAGTCAGAACGCAGTATTCAACATAATGCTATGTTAGATGTGAGAGGGGCATTTTTTTTTTTAAAAAGGCACTTTTAAAGAATCTCAAAAGACATATTTAGAGTCCTTCATTCATCAGTCAAAACATTTCACTGAACTCATATTTTGTCCGTCATATCATACTTGCAGAGCTGCAATTGTGATGCAATGTCGCAAGTTACAGCTGTCAGCTGTGAGTCAGATGTAGCACTCATGCCTCCGAGTCAGAGATTTGTGGGTTTTAAGCACCATTTATGCATGAGATGTAGGCTAGAATCTGACTGACATATAAACCCAAGACTTCATCAGCCTTTTTAGGAAGGTGTACAAGATCACGCGAATCTATTCAAAGAAGAGGAGAGCAATTGTCATACTGTTTCAACCAATATATGTCATTCAAATCAATGTCACTAAAAAGCATGTTATCTAGTTTCCATCTCATTGTTGTTTCTGGTACCTTGCAGGGTGCTTTGAAGTACTTCATCGACCCATACAACCCAACCACACACAACATCCTGAGAAAGGAATACTTACCATCTATAGTATGACATTTTTACTAATGGCTGTGTTTCCTGCCAAGCCCATGATATCTAGTGCAATTTGTTGCATTATAATTTTAAAATCTGTAAAAGAAAAATGTTGCCAGTAATGAAATAAAAACAACTCAGAAACAGAAGTTGCAGGGGTACAATTCCCACAGGTCTTTGTTTTACATGTAAAGGCAGGGTTCCAGCCTGTGGAGTAGTTGGCCATTGAATTAAATCACTCAAATATTACTTAACAGCAACTTATTTTGTCTTCTAAGAAATACGCTGACTCATAATAGTAGATGGATAATGCAGTATATTGTTCTTTCATAAGATGTGAGTATCGCTTACAGGGCCAATCCTGACTGCACTTGAGACAGTTGGTGGCTAGTTAGGCTATTTAAGAGTAATATTGCTGTAGATCAGAAGACTTGGTTGAGACAGCAAATTTCATTCCATAAAAGACATGAGTGAGCCAGATGGGCTTTTACAAATGCTGTGCTGACGAGAAAATCGATTGTGCATCACTGAAAATATTTCTAAACTAATGTACAGCAGTCCCCGGGTTGGAAATGGGTTCCATTCTGGAGTCCATTTGCAAATCGATTTGCATGCAAGTCAGAACACAACGCAGGACAATATAAAGCTGATGTTTGTGAGCACAGGAGATGTTCGCATATTGGGTCTATAAAATTAACACCCCTGAAAGGGGTGTTCGTAAGTCAGATGTTCATAAATCGAAGACCTCCTCTAGTATTTGATCATGACCAGCATCACAGGAGAATCACCAATTTGAAACGTAGATTATGTGAAGTAATCCACAATTATATAAAATGAGAAACCATCAGAATAGTTAAAAAAAACACTATAAGTGTGACAAAGAGAAAAAGTTTGCATATTTCCATGAAAATGTTTCTTGACAAGTCTTTTAATATTCAGTTAACCTCTGACTCTGTCGTTGATAAGGCCAGTTATCGAGTATTCTGTGAAGTTTTCCTCCCTTCAGAAAATGTACAAATCTGGCAATATGTTTCACTGGATAATGACAAGATGCTTCAAGCTTATTTACAAAGAAAGGATTAAGCAACTAGGGAAAAAGGCTGAAGATATGATACAAGTGTTCAATAGAGTAAAAACTGTCAATGTGGGGAAAGAACTACTTATCTATGACTAGACGTCCTCAGCATAAAACTCAGAAACCTAAAACGAGGTTATGGTTTAGAAAAAATGTCTTTGATATCATACATGTAGAATTAACTCTGAGAAAATGTAATTGAAACAGGGTCAATTTGCTGTGCATTTAAGAGGCATTAAATTCAGCATTTTTTGAAGGAAATATGTGTTATCTAAGGTGGGGGTCAGTGGGAAGTAGGAAGAATTTTCTGATAGAGACTAATTGTATTTCAGATCTGGATTGGTTGGACTCAATATTGCTCAGGGATTTGTTGTTTAAATTCTGGATTTTCTATTGTACTTACAGAGTATTGCTCAGTTTGCTCACATATAATATACCTGCCCCCTTTCTTTAACACAGACGTTTGAATCTAAAATACACCACATTGAAACAAGGCCATCCAGGAAACCAAAAGATAAAGAGATATTGGAATTCTTCATCCGTTGTGAAACAAACGTCTCAGATATCAGCACCTTGGTCAGTTCCCTGAAAAGAGTTGCAGATGATGTAAAAACAACAAAAGAAGAAAAATGTAAGAATGATAACCTTTCACCCTCTCTGACCATTGCGTGTTTTCTCTTCAGCTTCAGTGGATATAATTCTTACCCAGTCATGCTCCATACTTGAACATTTTTTTATATATAAAAAGCTTTATTCAATTTTCCCAGATCCTCTCCAATGTTCTCCTCTGCTGAAGGACTGATTTTGTGCACTTGCTCGCAGAGGTGTGTCATGGCACCTCTGAACGGGTTGATTAAGGAAAATATCTACTAAAGGGGTATCTCAACAGGATGTTAATCATGAGTAGGAATCATGCATCATTCCTTTTAACCCTTCAAAACTGAAAGGATCTGTGCAGCTTTACCGCTGTCCCGATGGAGACCAGGAAACTCAAGAAGAGATCAGCGATTAAGCCTATTTTTTTAGAAACTGCTGGATTAAATAGTAATAGCAATATGCATTTATGTAGAACCATTAAGATAGTAAGATGCCCCTCCCTCACACAGGAGAATGATTATTCAAAATTTCATTCTGATCTACATTAGGAGATGTGTAAGGAAGTCCATAAGGAGATGTGACCTGTGACCTGGTTACTGACGTGTGTTATAAGTAATTGAAGGAGGAATGACAGGTGCAGAGATTTACACAGGCATTTCCAGAGCTCAGGGCCCTAGTCACGTAATGCCATGACTGCCAACAGGAGAGCAATAGAATTGGGGAAGCTCCAGAGACCAATATTGAAGGGGCTCAGATATCTTGGAGGGTTGTGTAGCTGGAGGGAATTACCAAGATAGAGAGGAATTTGTAACCAAGGAGAGGAATCAAAGTAATGGCAATCTGGCAGCTAGTGTGGCTCAGTGAGGACGGAGTTAAACAGGACTTGGTGTGAGGTAGCACGCTGGCAGCAGATCCAACTTTATTAAAAGTGGAAAGTGGTAGACTGACCTGAAGTGCATTGGAAGAGTTATTTCAGAGGTAACAAAGACATCACTAAAGATTTCCAATAACAGATGAGCTGAAGCAAGAGCAGAGATCAATGCTTTATGCGCAGTGATGTAAGTGAATTTCATTTAATCCTTCATAGAAGGTAGGCATTCCTGGCCAGGCCAAAATTTATTGCCTAATTATTGATTAATTGCCCTGGAGAAGCTGGGGATGAGCTGCCTTCTCAAACTGCTGCTATCACTGGGGTGTGAGGACACCCACATTGCTGTTGGGAAAGGAGTTCTGAGATTCTGGCCCAGTGACAATGAAGGGACAGTGATATAGTTCCAAGTCAGGATGGTGGGTGGCTTGGAGGGGAACTTTTAGCGGCTATGTTCCATGCACCTACGCCCCTGGTCTTTTCAGATGGTAGCAGGTTGCAAGTTTGGAAGGGGCTTTAGTGACTTACTGCAGTGCATCCTATAAATGGTACACACTACTTGGACGATGCATCTGTGGAAAGAGAGTGAACTTTGAAGGTGAGGTGTGGAGAGCCATTGAAGCAGGTTACTGAAGTGATGGAAGTGTGGTCAGAAGTTTATTTCATTGTTAAATAAGCCGCCAGATTTCAACCACATAAGGTATTTCATTTTCCCTGCCAAACCATTGGTATAGCTGTCAAATTTGTTTAAAAACATCCGTGGACCTACATCCAGTTTGAATTATCACCTCCATCCTGAGAAGGGGTGAAATGAGAAAATCTGTAAGAAAATATTGGAAAGTTTAAGAAAAACAAAATTGCTATACTTTTTGAGTATGATGCATAAATTATATAGCAGGACATCATAGTTGTGAGTGAAATGTAGACAGCACGTGAATTAAAAAGATATGTAGGACTGCTCATAAACTGCGGCAATGTTTTTAAAGAAATTACATTAATATGATGCCTCATTGCAATGCTGAAGAATGACACAGCATGTGTCACATTCAATGAATTGTAATTAATATTCTGACCAATGAACAGGACACAGTAATGGCATGCAAGTAGCAACCAGATGAATATTATACAGGTGAGCTGAGGAGAACATCATTCTTCCTGGAATTACCAAGGATCTTTAATATTCACCAGAAATAAGCAGATCAACACCAACAGTGCAACATTCCCTCAGCACTGCACTGAAATATTGGCCTTGTTTATGTGTCCAAATCCTGAACTAGGTATTAAACAGCCTTCTGACCATGTATCACCAATGAGCATGTTATCAACTGAGCTAAGCTGATGCATTCCAGATATTTGTTGTGCACTGTCATATAATAATGTTATTTTTTAGCTTTTAAATAGCAAAGGTTCTGTATGTACACAATTTCTTTCAATTATGCTATTTAAAATACATTATCTATATTATAACGTATAATATATAGACATCAGCCAAGATATGTATTCCAGTTAATGCTTCAAACTTCCACTACTTTCTGTAACATAATGGAAAACCGAGAGGCTGGAAAACATTAGGCAGTAATTCTTCCCGGCTATCTTCATGCCCCAGAGCAGAGTTTATGCTTAGCACGGATTCTACAATTGGACCAGGACAACGATTAAATAATATTAAATGACTGCTGTTCCTCTCATGTTGCTGATAATTAAATTCATTCAGTGACTCATTGAGTTAAAATCAACTACAATCCTGATGGGACAAACAGATTTGCCATAGGTACATACCGGTGACATGTTACATTACCCTACCCTTGCTTCGTTCCTCCATTTATCATACTGATCATTTAAAAATACTGCAGACTTCTTCTCTCCATTACTGGCTCTGCATAAAGTGGTTATCTTCAAATAATACTCTGGTTCCTACATTACAGGTTCTTTCGATGCTTTGAAATGTTCCAATTAGTTACCTTCTTCTCCATTTTGTTTCCCCTTTTTCTGCTTCTAGTTCATTGGTTTCCAAAAAAACTATCAGATTTGGATAGATGTCACCAATTAGTTACAAAATATGAGCCGGAACTGGATCTGGATCACCCGGTAAGGTTGGATGTTTACTTGAAGGAATCTTTGCTGGGGAGATGTGACTAACCAAAATCTTTCAATTCAAAGGAGTAAGAGTTTGGTAAACAGATTGGGAGGAGGCTCATATGGAACACGTTCATGAGCAAAGACTAGGCAGGACAAATGGCCCATTTCTGGGCTATCAAACTGATGTTGCCATTTCTGCTATAATTAAAAGCAACAGTTCAGGTCGCACTGTTATAGAAAGGATATTACTGAGCTGGAGAGGGATCAGAAGAGATTTACCAGGATGTTGCTGGGAATGGAGAGTTTGAGTTATAAGGAAAGGCTGAATAGGCTGGGGCTTTTTTCACTGGAGTGCAGAAGGTTGAGGTGTGACCTTATTGAGATTAATAAAATCGTGAAGGCCATAGATAAAGTGAATGGCAGGTGATTTTCCCCAGGGCAGGGGATTTCATGCGTGCACATATTTTTAAGGTGAGAGGAGAAAGATTTAAAAAAAGACAAGAGGGGCAATTTTTTTCTATGTAGGCGGTGGTTCATGTGTGGAATGACCTTCCAGAAGATGGATGCAGGTATGGTTACAACATTTAAAAGACATTTGGATAAATATATGAATAAAATGTATGGAGGGATATCGACCAAGTGCAGGAAAGTGGGAGGAGTTTAGTTTGGGATTATGCTCACATGGACTGATTGGAGCAAAGTGTCTGTTTCCATGCTGTGCGACTCTATAACTTACCGAACAGTTACAAAATACTATAAAAAGAGATGTGTGTCTTTTGCTCAATACTGCTCACTTTGTGTTCATGCTGTATGCCTTTGCATTACAGCTTCCAGATAGGATTATATATAATTTTCCTCAGCATAATCCTATTCCTTTCTGTTCAACTGTGAGTAGCAAGTGCTGTCTGTTGCCCACTACCTTAAATCTCAGCATTTCTGGAACAGGTACTTTGGAGGTGCTTGACATCAAAAGAAAGATTAACACATGTGACAAAGAAGTAGCTAAATGCATACATCACATTCGAGAACTTAAAGTGGAAAGGCCAGTTTTGGAGCAAAAGTTCTGTATTTTTGCAGTCTTCATAGTTCTGGATGTATAGCCTGCCAATAGTGTTGATGGTCAAGAATTAGTCAGTGATTCCATCACCTTGCATTCCTCTGTGTCTATGAGTCTCCAAGCACCAGATCAGCAGACACAAGGTCTGGAAAATGAAATTCAAGTGATTGGAGGAAGCATAGCAGTGGGCAGTGGGAACAGCTCTTCAGATACGTAGCATTGGAGTGAAGTTTAATGCCAGCTCTTGCAGTAGTTAATGATCAATGCAACGGGATATAACTTATGCTGCAAATTAATATCATTACAACCACTACAAATGTACTCTGAAATATCTGAGAAAAACTAGAATGCAGAGGACAACTTGCATTCATATAGCATTCTACAAGTGCTCATGTTGTCCCAAACCTCTTCATAGCCAATGAATGCTTCCATGGTGGGGCCACTGATGTATTGTAAGAAATGTGGCTGCCTATTTAAGCAAACTGAGCTCTCCCAAACAGCAATGTGACAATACCCAGATAATCTGTGTAACTGTTTTTACTTTTCACGTTGTTGCTTGAGGGATATTGGCTTCTAGGGAGGTCTTCCCCCGCCGTTTGTCAAAATTGTGGTAAGGGATTATTTACATCCACCTGAAAGGTCAGAGAGAGCTTTGGTTTAACATCTCCTTCAAAAGGCAGAATCTTGAACAGTGCAGCACACATTCAGTTCTGCACTAAGAACATCAGCCTTGATTTGTGCAAAAGAAGCAAAGATGACGTGAAAAAAAAATCTTTCATCCAGCAAGCAGTTAGGGTATGGAATATATTGCCCGAAAATATGATTTGATTGGATTTGAGTTGATTTGATTTACTATTATCACATGTACCGAGGTACAGCAAAAAGTATTGTATTGCGAGCTAACCAGACAAATCATACCTCACATAAGTACATCAGGATAATAGAACAGAGTGTGGAATATAGTGTTACAGCTACAGAGGAAGTGCAGCAAAAGATCAACTCTAATGTATGAGAGGTCCATTCATAAGTCTGATACCAGCGGGGAAGAAGCTGTTCTTAAATCTGTTGGCTCTTGTTTTCAAACTCTTGTATCTTCTGCCCGATAAAAGAGGGTGGAAGAGAGTATGACCAGGGTTGAAGGGGTGTTTGATTATGTTAGCTGCTTTCCGGAGGCAGCAGGAAGAGTCAATGGAAGGAAGGTTGGTTTTACCAGTATCATTTGGGGCCATAACAATTCTGTGATTCCTCATTCAAAGCAGTGCAGTGCAACTTAAACCAATGACCTTGGACTCAGAGGCGAGAGTTCTACCATTGGCCATGGCTGGGGGAAAGGACAGACTGAGACTGTTCGCAGTTATGGCCAAACTCACTGTCTTATTAGTGTCTGCAGAGAAGATACCAGCAGATGGCAGTGTTGCCCTGGAAAAGTGGACCCTGCTAAGAACATCTTTGGACATTGCCAGAATCTGTGCCCACAGCTGCATGGCTAAGGCTAGCTATATGCATTCTACTTCTCATGCAGTTGAACTTGCCTCTTATCCATCATTTTTTATTCCTCAAAAATGAAGCACTAAGAGCATGCAATTCACTGCTCTGTGTTAAGAATTGCAATTTTAGCAGCATAGCAGCAAAGTGTGGAAGTTAGGAAAACCGATGTAACAGAAAATGATCTAAATATTCAGCAGGTTAGGCAATATCTGTAGAGAAAGAAGTTGAATGAATGCTTCAGGTTGATAGTCTGTGATCAAAATTCATTCAGCAAAATAGCTTTGAATATTTACTTCCGCCTGCTTAATATTGCTCATTTAATGTGGATAAGCAGAATGCATATAAATGCATTTTGTGTTAGAGCGGTTTAAAACAATCTAAAGGGTAAGCCCATAAGTAAATCAGTTGCAGACGCAGCAAAATTATTTTCCAGCTCAATGCTCTAGCCCTCATTGTATATTCCTTGCTGGTGGAATCCTTGCCTTTTGTCATGATGAATCTCTGAATATTGGATTACAACCCAGAAATATCCTGAGCAAGAAAGTGCCAAAAGGCTGTATTAATACATGATAATAATGAGATATTATAAAAAGCATGATAAACTTCGAAGATTTGTTCCATTTGGCACCCTACAGTCCCCAGTCATTTCATGAGTTTGTCAACAGAGGGCAGCAAAAGACATGCTGTGAGATCAAGAACATTACCAGCATTTAGCAGGAGGGATAGTGTCTTTGACAACTATGGCTATGTTTTTAATTTATTCCTTCATGGGATGTGGACACAGCCGAATTCCTCATCTTTCATTGCCCTCGAGAAGGAGATGGTGACCTGCCTCCTTGAACCACCGCAGTCCTTGTGATGCATCTCCATCCACGGTAAAAAAGTTCCAGGATTTTGACCCGAAGACAGTGACGGAAGGCAATGTAGTAAGTCAAGATGTTGTATGGCTTGGAAAGGAACTTGTAGGTGGAGGTGTACCCATGGATCTACTGTCCTGTGCTAGCTGTTAGAGATTTGTGGGTTTGGAAGGTGCAATGCATTTTGAAGACAGTACACACTGCTGCCGCTGGGCATTGGGCATTGAAGAGACTGAATGCTGACATTGGTGGATGGAGTACCAATGGGGTCGGTTGTTTAGTCCTGGATGGCGTCAAACATTTAGAATGTTGTTGCGGTGGGGCTCATCCAGGCAAGAGGAGAGTATTCTATCACTTTCTTAACTTGTGCCTTGTAGATAGTAGTACTCGTGAGTCAGGAGTTACTCACTTCAAAATTCCCTGCCTCAACCTGCTCTTGTAGTGATATTTTTTTTTAAATACAGCTGATCCAGTTCATTTCTTGTCAATGGCGACCCCCAGGATGCTGATAACTGTATTTCATCAAGGGTCATGCCATTGACCATCGAGGGGAGATGGCTAGCTTCTCCCTTGTTGACGATGGTCATTGGCTGGCATTTGTGTGGCATGAATGTTATTTGTCACTTATCAGCCCAGAAAGAGTGGTGAATGATACTCAACATTGTGCAATCATCAACGAACATCCCCACTTTTGACCTTACAATGGACAAAATGTCATTGATGAAGCAGCTGAAGAGAGTTGGACTAGGACATACCCTGAGGAACTCCTGCAGAGATGTCCTGGAGCAGCAGAGATAGATTTCCAGCAACCTCAACCATCTTTTTTTGTACTAAGCATGACAGCAACCAGTGGAGACCTTTCCCCGATTCCCATTGACTCCAGTTTTGCTAGGGCACCTTGATACCACACTCGGTCAAACGAAACCTTCATGCCAAGTTTAGTTCTCCTCCTGAATTTCTGCTCATGGTGCACAGACATCTGAAGTCTGCAGGCGTGGGATCTTGGAGGAACCTTGGAGAAGCTGTGCAACTGAGTGTGAACACAGATCAAAGGCCATCACTCTCATCTCACCTGTAGTTCAGCTCATTTGTCCACGTTTGGAGCAAGGCTGTAGTGAGGTCAGGGGCAGAGTGCCCCTGGCGGAACCCAAACTGAGCATCAATGTGTAGGTTGTCACTGTTACTGATTACTCTGTTATAGGCAATTGAGTCGTCAATGGCTTCATCCATCACGCCATAAGCAGGTGATGCAGAATTGTTCTGTAGATCTCATAAAGCTTCTACGTGATACAAACGAGACTGAACAATTGTCAATCAATAGTCAAAAAACACAAACATTTTCCAAGGAGACAAAGCCCCTTCACCGCTTGACAGCTTCTCAACCAGCTCTTATGCAGGTGCTGAAATTAACATCATAACATACTGTAGCAAGGCAATGATTGAATGAATGAATCTGACCTTCTTCTATTACCCCTGTGCCAATGTCCTGGTTTATTCAAGCTATTTGCCATTCAAAGCTGAAAACCAGACTCGCCAAAGTGAGTGGAATAATGCAGAGGCCCAAAGCCTGTGACAAGGGATGACAATAATTAAGAAGCCCCTCAGTA